CATTCTCTGTGGGTCAAGTGCTGAAGTGGACAGCTGTGCAGCAATGGGAGACGAGAGGGGCATGACACGAACACTGCTGGAATGCAGTCTCAGCGACAAGCTGTGTAGTAAGTAGAGATATGCTAGAGATATCTGTCCTCTGATTTCAGAGCGATGGAGACTAAGATCTGAAGAGATTCTGGAAGGAAGATCGTTTGATTTCTGACAGAAATGATGACGGTGGTGATGACAGGAATTGGCACTAGAGGCCACTGTCTTTGAAGTGGGGGTGAGTGGCAACCGTACAGCCAGGTGGGCTTCATCCTTCATCTCAGTAGGAAAAATGAGAGAAGAGGCACAGAGCATCCCTGATGGGCTAAGAAACAGGGTCACTGGGGTTTCAGATCAAGGAGCTGATTCCAATTGTGGTTGCACTGAATGAAAGTAGAGGGGTCAGAAGCAAGAGACGATCGTGTCATGTACGGTGAGCTAGGACTGGTGGGCAGGGGAGTGCTGTGGCCATCAGGTTAGCCTGCTCCTTCAGCCTCTTCTCTTCTTGCTTGACTTCCTGCCTAGTTGTCCGGGAGCAGCAGTATGAAATCATCATCGTCCCAACCCTCCTGGTGGGCATCTTCCTCATCCTCCTTGGGGTCATCCTGTGGCTTTTTATCAGAGAACAAAGAGCCCAACAACAGCCTCCTGGACGCCGAGGTAAAGTTCACACTGGAACTGGGCGGTGGCTTGGGGCAGATACAGGCGACAGAAGATAAGACCTACGCCTCAGAGAGCCCAGGTCTAGAGGTTCCTGCAGTGAGCTAGGGGATATGGGTCTCCTCCTATGGAGGTGAGAGGGGGTGAACTTTTCTCTAGGGAGTCATGAGTACAAATCAAACATATGCTTGTTAGCTGAAAGAAGAGTCGGCAAGAGAGGCCTCATGTAACCTGTTTCTGTCTCCTTTGTCCTACTGTACAAATCTTTGGCCGTGTGAGTGTCTACGGATTAGGGAGGAAGACCTATTGGGTGACACCCAAGGCTCTGTAGCATTGAGCTTTGAAGGATGACATTTTACTCTGTAATACAGTCCAACCCTGTTCTGTGCTTCTGGAATTTATGGCGAAAGGGGATAGCCTTCATAATGGCCTTTGAAGCACTGGGTAGGCGATGATAACACACTGTTCTGGGGTACCGCTGAGCATGTAATTAAAGGGCGTGCGCTCATACATGAAACTCAGGGACAAAGGAAGGAGAAACATATCCCGACAGTGACATGAAACTCCGTAGTGGCCGATCCTTACTCCTTCTCTAAACTGTGTCCCAATTTTCTTATCAGTCACTCTTACAGAAAAACTTCTCAAAGAAGTTGTCTTAACTCCCTCTCACTGCTTCTGCCTGTCACGGTCTCTTTTGAACTTACTAAAACAAGGCTTCTCCCCGACCGGTTCACCCGAACAACTCTTTCCAAGATCGCCAGCGACAGCTAGGTTGAGTCTTCATAACCTCTCAAAAGCATTTGAAATGACTTTGCACTTCCTCCTCCTTCAAGTACTTTCTAGGTTTGTTTTAAATCTGCAGTCACGACCTAGCTGATCTAATTTTCAGTCTTAACGGATTCAAATACTTCCTTCCTTCTGATTATAGTCCCCTTGAATTCCAGATTCTCATACTAAACCACCTACTTTGCAGTTGTGACCTAGTACACATCTAAGATGTATTATGTGTAGAACAAACGTCCCGAAATCCCCTCACAATGCCCTCCCCCAGTGGTCTTCCTTATCTCAGTGAACGGCAAGCCCCGCTCCCTGTGTTCAGTCTAAAACCTTGAAGGTGTCCTTGACTCCTCTTTCCCTCACACTCCATATCCAGACCATTAGCAAACGCTGTTAACTCTGCCTTCAAAACAGACTCAAGCCATTCTCACCTCTCATAGATAATTGTAATCCTAACTGGCTTCCCTGCTTCTGCCCCTATCGTTTTTCCCTTTTATGCTAGGCATCCACTGTGCCTCTGAGCTAGACCCTCCCCCCACCCACCCCAGAATGATTCTTTTAAGGCGTCAGTCAGTCCTGTTGACTCTCTGCTTGAAACCCTCCAGTAGCCTCCCATCTTAGAATGAAAAAGACAACATTCTTTCAATGACCCTACATGATCTGGGCCCTCTCTGGCCTCATCTCCTGTACCCCGCCAATTATCCCACTTGGTTCCAGGGGCACTGATTTCATTGCTCTTCCTCAGACATGCCAAGTGAGCTCCTTCCTCAGGACTTTTGCACTCCGTGTTCACTTCGTCAATAATACTTCCCTGATACCCGTATGGTTTGCTCTCTACTTGCTTCCACGTATTTCTCAAAACTGGTCTCATCAGAAAGGCCTTTCCTCACCTTCCAGCATAAAATTGCATCACTGATGTGATAATCCCCCTCTTTTCCTCCATGACACTCCTCCCCTGGTATAGTATTATCTGGCAAGTAAGTGTCATAAGAATCTTTGCCTTATTCCCATCACCTAGAATAGTGCCTGGCATGTAGGAGGTGATCTTTGTTGAATAAATGAGTTAATGAATGAATGGAGATTTAATAAAAAGAACAAACCTCTCTTTTCCAATGGAGAAAAGTTGGCTTAGAACGGGGGAAAGTACCAGAAGACTTTTTTTGACTGAGACGCTAGGAAATACGGATTAATTTGACCTTGGGGACAACTTGAGGGAAGAATAGCCAAGGCTTAGAGTTGAGTAGTTATCCATACCACCCCCCTCGCATCTTTGAAAGCCATTTGATTGACTTAAATGATCACCCCCCCACTGTCAGTTACCATCAGTAAATTTAAGTGTCTGTGGTTTGATATAGTATGAATATCTCCCTGCTATACTCACACCGAATCCTCGGCAAGACTGAAAGGAATGTCACTACCAGTTTCCAGAGGTCCACTTGAGTTGTCTTAGAAGTAATGGGATTACTATAAAAGTTCCACAAGGTTTGTACTGATGCTGGCTCACAGAGAAGCACCAGAACGTATCTTCACATCAGCCAGAGAGAAGATTGCTAGCGGGCTTCCTTGCTGGGTTACTCCAGGTGCTGCCTTCCTGGAGTCCCTGGGCCAGGGCAAAGCTGGTTAGTATCACTTCTTTGTTCTAGGCATTGCCCATGTGCCATCTTCTAGAGGTGTAAGCCGGGAAGCAGCAGCACATGGAGGAAGTGTGTTTGTACCACTTAAGGAGACATCAGTGGAAAGCCTTCTACAAACTTCCACACGTGCCCTGGCCAAGCTGCAGGTGCCCCGGGAGCAACTCTCTGAAGACCTGGAGCAAATCCACAATGGTAGTTATGGGGCCATCTATCGGACCAAGATATATACTGGGGACCCTGCTAAGGCCAAGAGTGTTGTCCTCAAGGCTTTAAAAGGTAAAAGGACAAGTGTTGGACTTTCTTTCCTTTTAACATTTTTTCTGTGCGCCCACAGCAGTGAATGCTAACAGGCTTTGCAGACATTGAGACGTTAATCAGCAGGTGGTTGTGGTGACAGTTGGGCTCAGAATCAGAAGGGAGCAGAAAACAAAACTCGTGATGGAAAATGCTCTTCTTCCGGTCTTTTCCTAGCTAACATTTTCCTAGCTATCAAGCTGTTAGAACTGATTTTTGCATATTGGCTGATACCGTATTTTTCTTCTTTTTCCTTTTTTTCTTTTGCCGATACTCATGATCTGGACCAGTAATGATGGATACATAAAAGAGGACAAGGATAGAAATAGCAAGAATATTCCTCAAAACGCATAGACAGTAAAAATATTTTAATGTGAACAGAACACTTGTCTATTTAGGCAGAGGAAGCCCTATGTTTCTGTTACCTTTGACAAAAGATCAGCGACACTGAAGATGATCTTCTAATTGATTCTCTTTCTACTTGCTTTTTGTCTACAATCACTCCCCTGTGACGCCCTGAAATTTGTCACCTGAGGTTGCTTGCTGCCTCATACCTCCCATTTTATTGGTGATGCTCTGACTGCTCACTCCCCGTGGCTCTTCTGTCCTCCACAGAGCCAGCCGGGCTCCAAGAGGTGCAGGATTTCTTAGGCCGAATCCAATTCTATCAGTACCTGGGCAAGCACAAGAACCTGGTACAGCTGGAAGGCTGCTGCACAGAAAAGCTGCCGCTCTACGTGGTGCTGGAGGACGTGGCCCCGGGGGACCTGCTCAGCTTTCTCTGGACCTGTCGCCGGGTGAGCAGTAGGGGGGTGTTAGGAAGGAAAGGCCTGACCTGGCTGATCAGCTGTTCACATGTCAATTAGCCCGAAAGACGGCAAACTAGAGAGAGATTATGATAGCATAACAGAGTGATTATCACCATCCAGTAGAATTTTTTATATTGATAGAATATCTGCTCTGTCTCATATGGTAGCCACTAATCACACGTGGCCGTGGAATCCTCGAAATGTGGCTGACATGACTAAGAAGCTGAAGTTTCAATTTAATTTAATTTTGAATAATATATGTTCAGATAGCCACCAGTGGCTCACAGGTACCACACTGCGCAGTGCAGAGGTAAGGAAATGGACGTTCGGCTCCATCTCCTACTAGTCGTGTGACTCAGGGCAAGCCACTTCTCCGAGCCTGAGTTTTCTGAATCTGTAAAGTAGGAGTAATAATAATTATTAAACTTCAGACATTAAGTTTGTAAAAACATAGCAATTGGTACTCAAGTGCAAGCAGTCAAAATGGTAGCTGTTATAGCGATAATTGCATAACAGCGTAACTATTGTTAGTGATAACTTCATTGTTGTTAGTGTTAGGTGTGCCTGTCTTTCTGTAACATCACCCTAGTGTGCCAGGGCTGGGCTGAGAAGAAATTCAGCCTGCAAGTTTTTGTATCTCCAATCCATATTTTTAAAAACTAAGATGTTCAGAAATTTCCGGGCTAAAGTGCAAGTCGCTTTCCTTACACTTTCCCCACTTCTCTATCCATTCCCCTTTCTGAAGTGCTGTTTTCCTAGTTAGCGCCTCACTTGCTGATGAACAGAGTTCAGTATTAATCGCGCCTCCCCAGCATGCTGACTGCCGTGCTACTAAATGTATGTGGAGAGAGGACGCTGTTGACCTCTTCCATCCAGCAGTGCCAATAGGACAGTGTGCACATCATGAGATTTGGAACCTTTTTCAGAGGTTATCCATCTGTCACATGGTCTGTCTCTAACCTCACCAGCTTCTGTTTTTCAAACTACATGCTTGTCGATTTCAGATCGTTTTTGTGTGCCTTTCTCATCACACCTGACTTCTCCCTTCCCTCCTCTGTGTCCACTCACACTTCAGATCTCCGCAAGAGCTTTCCTTGCTCCTCCAGCAGAATCGGCTCTTTCCTCCAGCATCATATGCTCTTTTGCATTTCTTTCATGGCACTTATAGATATGTAGTCATGCATTTATGTATGATTATTTGGTTCTGATTCCTGAGTGTCTGCCACCCTACACGCTCCAGGAGGCAGCAGACATATTTATTTTACTCACTTTTGTATTCTGAGTTCCTGAGATGGAAGCTGGCACCTAGCAGGCATTCAATCAAGATGTGTTGAGTTAATGTGCTTAATTAATCTCTAACACACACACATACTCTGCTTCAGGAAAAGTGCTGCTTTATCTGATGGATAGTTTTATATAAACCTTTTTCTCATCTGCTATTCTGTTCTTCCTTCATTCTGCTATCCATCTACACTCTTTATTAATAGTTTCCCTGCTCCAATAAATCATTGCCCTTGTCTGCATATTGGAGAATCTCTCACAGCAGTCTCTTCTTCAATCTTATAGTCTGTATGTTTATGTATTTTTCTTTTTTTAAGTCTTGATAACTGCATTTAAGAATATCTCCGCCCCTATTTTTTCTTTCAAATCTCTTCATGTCATTTGATGTGATGCCTTTTTCTCTATCTCTTTAGGACGTGATGACCATGGATGGCCTTCTCTATGACCTCACAGAAAAACAAATATATCACATTGGGAAGCAGGTTCTCTTGGCTTTGGTAAGGCTGGGGAAGATGACAACAGGTGGCAGGGATTCTTCTGTGTGTCCTGTGCCTGGCATTTGATGTCATATTTCTCATATTTCTATTCCTCAATGGTGTATATATTATAAAGTCAGATGGAAGTTGGTGGGCAGAAACTCAAGCCCTGATAAATTGTTTTCAGTTCTTTCTTTACAAATTGTTTAGATAACAGAATTCAGGATTGGTAATTCTAGGCAGAGAGCAGTCAATTTGGGGTTTTTAGAAGGAACAGGAAGGGTGTTAAAAGGTTTCTCAGTCTTAAGAGGTCAAAAGCCAGGGCCAAGAGCTGTAAATCCACTTCCCGATTTATACTAATATTAACAGGTGTACGAGGGAAAAGGGAAGCAAAGTGAGAGAAGACATGGGGAGAAACTGAATGGGTGAAAGGCTACAGAAGAAGGAAGTTTATAATTTATACCTGAAAAACAAGAAATACGAGTTCAGAACATGTGCGGTTGGAGACTTGCTTTGATACCATATGTGATAGGAAATGCACATACCTGAAAAAGAACAGGGAACAAGTGGAAGATGAGGAAGAGAAGGGGCGACAACGTGACCGTTTCTTGATTTTAAACTAACGTAAATAAACAGGGAAGAGAAAGAACTCAAGGTTTAAGAGAAAAAAATTACCTTTACTGAATTACAAATTTAGGTGACTATTTCTATGAGATTATTTAGATAATTGTGTTTAGAATCAGCATTTGTTACGGAAAATCAGGGCCCTGTGAAGCCACTGCTTTAAGGTTTTGATACGCCTTGCCACCCCGAGGCGCGAAGTATACCAGAGCTCTGCACGGACCCAGGGAAGGCCTAGGGAAGGAGAGGCAGTGAGGTGAGAGAAGGCTCCGGCTGAAGTTCTCATGGGGCAGAGGACAGGGCACAGCGCACAGATAAATGTTCACGGTGGTGTTTGGAGGGCCTAACTGGTATGTTTTCTTGATAAAGTCAGGGTGTCAGGATAGAGTCTGCCTCGTATCCTGAACCGTCATTGCGGGGATGTTCCGAGGGATCACACAGGCGCACTCCTCAGAGCCCTAGGCTCCCAGTTGTGATGCAATAACATGCTAGCTCCCTTACTTTTAACAACTTCAGGATCAGTACATTCCTTAATTCTTCTCATTATCATATAATTTGTTTGTTCTAAGAGCTCACCAGAGACCAAAACAAACAAAACAAACCAAAACCAAACCCAACCCAACCCCAAACCCTGCTAGCCACTGTTGGCTTCACCGTCACCGATGGGAAATCTCCAACTTCAGCCTTTTGTTTTTTCACACCGTGCTTGTTTCGTCGTCACAGACCTGAGGCTCTAGCTCTTCCATCACGGGTGGGTTTTCAGCTTCTCCGTGTGCCCGGAATAGCTCGGTTGTCGGGGAAATGATTTCAGCACGTCGGTGTCATCCACGTACAGTGACTCTCAGGTGCCTTACTGGCTGTGCAGGGGCTACTTTGATACTTCTTAAAAACATAGATTCCTAGGTCCCCCCTCCTAGATTTTGGTTAAGTACACCCCGGGTGAACATCTTATGAATTTATTAAGCTCTTGGGCAATTCTGATGTGCAGCCTGGGCTGAAAAGTGTTAGCAGAATTTGTAGTTCTGCCTGTGAATTAGAACAGCTGACTGTGGTCACCACCTCTTGGTAACTGCGTAGCTTTGCATAATCATTTAGATTTATCTAAAAGTTACTTCCGTAACTTGCCTCATCAAGTTATTTTAGGAACAAAATGAAACTATGTAAAACTCTATGTAAATTTATTATTATGCCGCTCAGTTTTG